GAGAGCAACCCTTTCCCTCTACAGTAAATTAGGAGATCAGACTCAATCTCCCCTCTCAAGACTGTGGAGAACAAGGGCTGCTTCACTGCCAAGATATTTGTATCAGATGGGCCTATCCGATGTTCTATCACCCCAAGATATGCGATGCAGTGTCAGTAGGATTAGGTGCGATGGAATTACTATCAGTATCTAATGCTCTGACACCATATTGCAGTGTAATTCCATCGCACCTAATCCTACTGACACTGCATCGCATATCTCAGGGTGATAGAACATCGGATAGGCCCATCTGATACAAATATCTTGGCAGTGCTTGCTTCCCTCCCTACACAGTTTTTCAGGGGAGATTGGATTTGATCTATATATCTACAGGCCTGAACAGAAGGGATGAAATTCTCCCTCTTGGGAGTATAGAAGGAGGGAGAACACAGCCCAATCTCCCTCCCCCTCCTTCTACTACTGTAGAGGGTGATCATATCCTTCCCTACTCTTAAAGAGTTCCAATGCCTCCCTGATACAAAAGTGATCCAAATGGGGTTGAGCAACTCTTCAACCCTGATCACTAGCTCACACTGACCTAAAAGAAGAAACAACAATAATAAAGGTTAGGGATAGAAAGAGAGAGACATGTAAAAGAGGGTCTAACCTATAAGTCAAGTGTGGGATAAACAAACTCAGGCTGTCAGTGATAGGAAACAAGAAACACTATATATATTCTGTGGACAGCCAATTTTAATTGAGAAAGTCAGGTACTTGTCAGAGAGAAATAGAAACAGAAGAAATAGAAAAATAAGGGTTGACTTACTCTTTCCCAGCTATAATTGAGCTTAGGGAAAGAGTAATCTTTGAGTCCAAGAGATGAATGGAGTATAGCGCTGGAGGCTTCTTAGTATAAGCATACTATTCTTTTAGCCTGGTCCAACGTGCGCTACTGTACCTTTTTACAACTCTCACTACTATAGAGGGATATTGGAGCCCTCCCTCCTGTCCCTCAAGGTTTGAAACAAGGTATTCTGTCTCCATTGGCCAGAATACCTAGGCGGAAAGCTCAGATGCGGCATCCAAGATAAAGGGTGTTGGTAGTGCATGAGGTTGTACCTGAATCTGCAGAGAAATGCAAAATATTTTATGGTCATAATCATGGTTGTTCATGTCCTGTAAATACAGGAAGGGGGTTTCAAGCAGGGCCACAATAAAATATCATATTGATCAAGAAGTATGAGTTGAGAGTGTTCCTGTTGCAAAAAATCCTACTTCTTTTTTATACAAATTCCTGAAAAAGTAGAGCAAAAAAGAAACATAAAACCCTGCTTGTTTCTGTCAAATAATCATTTTATTTTTATTTTTTTTCGGAAACAAGGAAGGACTTATTTTCTTTCAGAGCGCAGTAAAACTTCCTACTTGAACCCTCCCTAATATACATAGTACTTGTACCGCTATGGCAGGCAAAGCCGCTGTTCCCTAGTATATACCATAATGGTCTAGACTTCCTTCATGTAAGTGTATCTCAACTTACTACTCAGTCTGCGGTTGTTGTGTTACTATAATTTTTTACTTTCATCTGGAAGGATCATAACCTCCCAAAGTCACTAAATCACAGAAAACTGTTTTGTGATTCACATCTAATATCATCAAATCCTCAGGTTTGAGAATTGTAAAAGGCCCAAAAATTGTTGGGTAGAAATTGAGTTTAAGAATAAATGCTTTTGAACAGAAAATTTTATACACAAGTTAGCCCTGCCAGCAAAAATTACTCGGACAAGGCTGTCCGAGGTGTTCTCGGACAGCCTTGTCCGAGTAATTTTTGCTGGCGGTGTACCTCCTTCTTGACATGGTACCTAGGTTGTGTCATTTTTTTCTTTTTCTTTTTGACATATTACGAAATGATTTGTGCTTGAGAATGTCTCAAATTCCAGGAAATGTTACACAATGTTGATAAATAGTACTGTCAGAATTTCAAATCTTCCCTAAAAATCTGCAGGAATCGCCGGTAAGTATCACTATTTGAATATTGACATTTCACTCTTGCCCACTGTCAAGTTTTTTTGTCCTAAATCCTTGTATTGATATCATGAGTCCGTATGCAAGCCATTTACGATATTCCTTTAGAGCGTTTGGTGAGAGAGGATAGTGGATGAAAAGGGCGCCAAATGTTGAGCAGGCTGGTTTTTTTTTTTTTTTTTTGCAAACAAAGAATTTGAAACTGATTTCAGGTTGTCCCAGGCCTAGGACATGCCAAGCTATGAGCGAGTAAGACTGAGCAGACAGTTAAAACTCTTTCAAGCCCGAGTAGTAGGCACTACCCCAAAATTGGTTGGAAGCTTTCCGTTCTGAGTCCCAAGTCAAATTAATCCTGTGAGATACATCCGAATCCAAATGGTAATTGCCAAATTATTTTTGTTGAACGTTCACCTGCAAATCACACCTGTCACACTGCCTTGATGATTTCAACGGTGGTCCGATGCGGTGATGTCTGTACTGTCGACCATATACTTTACACAGCTCTGACTTTATGGGTGTATGGAATAATCGAAAGCCATAACTAAACAAAACTTCATAAAAGGCAACACTACCAAGACCAAGACAGACCCCACTCTCCCCTCACTCGATCACATCCATCCCACTCACAACAGTAAATCCATACCCTCCAGTTCAAACTTGACTTCATTCTCTCTCTCTCTTTCCCACAAAATGGTTTACAAAGTGTGTACAAGAATTATCATTGACTCAATGAAGTCTTGGGTACTTTATACTGACTTCCCGTGTGTTTATCTGATTTTATTTTTAGGTTGCAGACGTAAGCGATGGATCGGATTGCTTATTGTAGTTTCATGATGTTTTGGTTGATTGAGCTTCTCTCTTTCACTCTTATTCTTTTGAATCTTTTCTTAGATCTCATTGGCCGCATGGGGTCGCAAGGAGATCGAGTTGGCAGAGAATGAGATGCCTGGTCAGTCGATCTTTCATTCCTTGTCCCGTTTCGCATATCGATTCGGGCGAGAAGCACTAAGAGATTTCTTCCTTGTCATTTATATATATAAATATTTCATCAGGTCTCATGTACCTTCGACAAAAGCACGGTCAGGCCAAGCCTCTCAAGGGTGCCCGAATTGCCGGATGCCTGCACATGACCATCCAGACTGCTGTCTTGATGTTAGTATGAGATCCATGTCTCGGTATATTCTGACACTGTAACTCACTCATGCTATCTTTCTCTCCATCTCTCTACTAGCGAGACCCTTACCGCACTCGGTGCCCAGGTCTCATGGTCATCTTGCAACATCTTCTCAACCCAGGACCATGCCGCTGCTGCCATTGCTGCTACTGGCGTACCAGTGTTTGCCTGGAAGGGCGAGACGGAGGAGGAGTACCTATGGTGTATCGAGCAGAGCTTGTCGGCTTTCCCCGAAGGCAAGCCCCTCAACATGATCCTCGACGACGGAGGTGATCTTACCTCGCTCGTCCACGAGAAATTCCCCCAATACCTCGCCGGTCAGTCCCCTTATCAGCCACTCTCCTTTTTTTCTGTCTCAAAATTTCTTTGTACTCTGACCTTTAACTTTTCTTCGGGCGATATTTAATAGATATCGGTGGCGTTTCAGAGGAAACCACCACCGGTGTTCACCATCTCTACAAGCTTCACAAGCAAGGCAAACTGAAAGTTCCAGCCATCAACGTCAATGATTCTGTGACCAAGTCCAAGTTCGATAACTACTACGGTTGCCGAGAGTCACTCGTGGACGGGATTAAGCGTGCAACAGATGTCATGTTAGCTGGTAAGGTAGCTGTCGTCGCTGGTTTTGGAGACGTCGGCAAGGGTTGTGCGCAAAGTTTGGCCAGCTACGGTGCACGAGTGGTGGTAACGGAGATCGACCCAATCAACGCGCTCCAGGCAGCAATGGCCGGTTACGAGGTCACGACCATGGAGGAAGTTGCTAGCCGGGCTAACATCTTTGTTACCACAACCGGTTGTCGGGATATTATTGTTGGCAAGCACTTCGAGGCCATGCCCGAAGACGCGATCGTCTGCAAGTAAGCCTTGTTTACCTCATCTCTTAACTTTTGCACCGCTGATCCTGTACGTCTTCTCTAGCATCGGTCATTTTGATATCGAAGTCGACGTAGCATGGCTGAAGAAGACAGCGACCTCGGTCAGCAACATCAAGCCTCAGGTAGACCGTTATACGATGCCTTCAGGTCGTCACGTCATCCTCTTGGCCGAAGGTCGATTGGTCAACCTCGGATGTGCCCACGGTCACCCTTCCTTCGTCATGTCCTGCTCTTTCGCCAACCAGACATTGGCCCAGATCGCGCTATGGGAGGACAAGGATAACACCAAGTACCCTCTCGGAGTCCATATGTTACCCAAAGCGCTAGACGAGGAGGTGGCCCGAGCTCATCTCGCTGCACTTAACGTTAAGCTCTCGAAGATGACACCTGCTCAGGCTGATTACTTGGGTCTCAGCGTCGAAGGACCTTACAAGGTCGACCATTACCGATACGTAAGTTTAACCTACCTCTTCTCTCCCCGAGTAAGTAGTACATCTGCTGATGGTTATGTTTTTTTTTTCACATCATCACAGTGATCGTCAAACTGTTCTTGACCAGGTTCGCGCACCTTGAAATGTTTGTTTGAGTTGACAATAGGCAAGAGTGTATGATGCTTTATTTTCGACCAAAACAAGCTTTCACAAAAAGAGCAAGTGGCTCAACCTGCTTGTTTTGTACTCTGGCTTCAACCCCGAGTCTTTATATTCCCCTTTTGGTGTAACGATGTCTTTCTGATACGCAAACACTTGTGACTAGTAGAAATTTAAAATCCCTATCAACTTCGATTGTTGTCCCATTTGCCCCGTGTGTGTGTGTTTTTTGTGAGTTGAGACCATTTACCTGCTTACCTGCTCAAGTTGTGTCTATCAATAATGAGGCAGTGATGATTTACACTGATCAGGATCCCCAAGAAGGTATATTCTGGATACCTGTGTGTGTTCGCTCGACGCGCCCGGCTAGCTCAGTTGGTAGAGCATTCGACTCTTAAGAAGTCACATTGGATGTCTTTCCTTGCTATCGAATTGTCGTGGGTTCGAGCCCCACGTTGGGCGTTTATTTTTGTTGGATTAGCTTGCAAAGAGCAACTCGACCACATGGAGAGCAGCCGGAAGTGTCTTGACAGAACTGAACTTGAGTGATTTATACATGGCGTCGTGGGTGATATCAAGTCGATCAGGTTTTACTTCCGAGAGGACGAGTTTAGTTCGATAAACTTTGGTAGATAGAAGAACTATATGGGTGAATGGTATATATTTAATAAATACGGAAGAAACTAATATGGTGGCCGAGACGAGAGGTACAGTAGATTCGAAAACTATCGGTCCTTCGAGTCAGAATCGACATCGAGAAATCAGCGCAGACCGCAGCAATGACCTTCGGAAACAGTCCAGGTGGCCCTGTATTACAGGGCCACCCTTCGCCCATCTTCCAACAGGGCTGCAACCCGCAGCCAGTGTTTGTAGCCAAACTCATGCAGAGCCC